TATCTTTATTGAGTTTGTAATGTTTACTTATGTTACATTTTGTTACAGGATATTCATTAGTTCTTAAATTATTTCAAAACGTATTTTTCCCTGTAAACTTTAAATCAAAATAAAATATCTGACGAGAATGCTGCTAACATAAGTTGGTTGGAAAGAGCAGTTTTAAATTTACCGCTTGTTGTATGACGTCACACTTCGACAATTTTGATTGGTTGCATGCGCGTGAGCATACCCTTATCCTTATACCATGCACTACACGTAGTCTCGTTTGCTTGCTCGAGTAGGACGGACGCTCGTCTGCCCTGCTTCGGGGATTGCATCATTTCATTAATTTTTTGAAAAGCGATTCCGGCTTTAACTGTGATTAGTAAGCATGGCTATGTTCACCTCGTTGTCGAGGGCCTGGGCCAATTAAATAAAGAAGAAGAAGTAGCATTACACGTAGTCGGTATGACAGATATCCTAACCTGAATAGTCGTTAACTTTAACGCTTAATATCTCGGTTCGCGGGGCAGAGCGGCGCTTTTTTCTACCAGATTCTTTCGTTCTATGGAAAAACGCGTCGAATGAGCATAATTTCATCAATTTTTAAGAGGATCGATCTTTATTGCACCTTTACCACAAAATGGTTAGAAATTGCTGATGAAATGAAGACGGCAAACTACAACGTCACTGCTGTTCAATGTCAAAATAAAATGTCAGGACTAAAAAGAACTTATAAAAATATAAGTGACAGCAACAAAAAGTCAGGTAATCATTCGAGTTCTTGGACCTTTTACTCTGCTATTTATTCAATATTTGGAGAAAAGGCATGGGTAGGACCTTTATCAATAGCTAGCAGCGATAGTCCATGCTCTCCAAGCACTTCATCCACCTTGTCAGAGATATCAGCAGATGAACAAAAACCAAAGAAAAGGCGAGTGGAATCTATTTTAGAATCATTCATTACAGAAATGAAAAAAGATAAGCAGAAGGAGAGGGATGAGAGAGAACAGCGAAGAGCTAAGAAAAGGAAGAAGTTACAGAAGAGGTTTAATCATGGTCTATAATAAGTTGCAAATACTTTGCTACCAATTACAATGCTTTGTGACATCCAATCAGAGGCATCATTAATTACTATTGACACTTTTGATTGACTGTTACGAAGCTTTGCGACTGGCGATAGTGTGTTTGCAACTTATTGTAGACCTCGCTTTAAGAATCTAGCTGATGTAACCATACAGGGTTGTCTTTTTATACTGACTGCATCCTAGTCAAGATATATTTTATTTTGTTTCTTGTATGTGTGCCTATATACACCTCAGATAAGTTTAAAACTCACATCAAATTATGCATTGAACATTAAGATTAAAGATCGAATATAAAAAATGGACCAAGCAGAATAAAGAAATTTAAATATTTTTTATTCTGATTGATTAATTTTCAATCTTCAATCATTAATCTTAATCTTTAATGCATAATTTGATATGTGTTTAACGTTGTTAATATTTCCGAGATATTTTATAATATTGCATCCTTTATTGCGTTTTTATACTTTATGTATTTTATTTTTCTCAGAACGTAAAAGTATATACTTTAAAAAGTAATAATAGTAAAAGTAAGTGAAAGTACTTTTAAAAGTAATAATTTTATATATTCCTTGTATGTCACTTTTTTAAACTTCGTTCTTTATTTTTTATGTAAATATTATATGAGATATTAATCCAGTTATGAATGCAATTAGAATTTTTTGCTTACATTTATTTTATATTACTGCTGTCCAAGATTGTAATTCTGTGAATATCGGTTTAATGCATATAGGTATTCAATGGGTACATCTAGAAGAACGAACGCTCAGTGAGCTGTTGTACCTGCTTGAACTATATTTTTAAATCTAATGGAATATGCTAATCAGATGCAGAAGTTCACTGAGCGCTCAGTGAACGGTCACGCTTCTGGATACACCCACTGTCTTTCTTTTGCTGTTCCTATTTAAAAAAGGAAGGTAATAAAATGTAAACACACTTCAAATCAATACTTAGAATTACAAATCTTGGATGACTTTAGCTTGAATTACAAATCTTGGATTTCTCTCGTGAATTCGTAGTAACAACCGACGCATCGGATTATGCAATCGGAGCCGTATTATCGCAAGGCCCCATAGGACAAGACCTACCGATTGCTTACGCCAGTCGGATTTTAAACAAAGCCGAGCAGAACTATAGCACGACGGAGAAAGAACTGTTGGCTATAGTGTGGGCCGTGAAACATTTTCGACCGTATTAACGCGAGTATACAGCTGAAGAGAAACGACAAATACTATACGAGTATCATGACATACCGACCGGAGGGCATCAAGGTGTGACACGCACAATAAATAGAATCAGATTAATGCATAACTGGATAAAATTGTGCATAAGGCAGGTAAGGGTAACACAAATGCCGATGCACTGAGCCGTCACCCGATACCGAAGGAGGAGCATGTGAACTCACTCCAGCCGCAGAAGAAAGAGGAAGAAGAAGACAAGGAGAGAACGATGCGCGAGTATACAGCTGAAGAAAAACGACAAATACTATACGAGTATCATGACACACCGACCGGAGGGCATCAAGGTGTGACACGCACAATAAATAGAATCAGATTAATGCATAACTGGAGAGGCATCACGAAGGATGTCGAGGATTACATAAACAAATGTGAGCATTGTCAGAAAAATAAACTTAGTCGGAAAACAAAAATGCCTCTAGAGATTACCGACACCCCCTCCAAACCATTCGAGAAATGCGCACTCGACATCGTGGGACCTTTAACGGTGACTACCGCACAAAATAAATACATTCTGACGTTTCAGGATAATCTCACAAAATTTAGTAAAGCCATCCCGATCGAAAATCAGGAGGCAGCAACGGTAGCAAAAGCATTCGTAACGCGAATAATCGCCGAATACGGTATACCCGAGAAAATTCTCACGGACCAGGGGACCAATTTTACGAGTGAAATGTTTAAAAATGTTTGTAAGCTGTTGAAAATCGAGAAGATTCAAACCACGGCGTACCATCCGGAAAGCAATGGAGCATTAGAGCGCTCACATCGCACACTGGCAGAATACTTGCGACATTATATAAATGACGAGCAGACTGATTGGGACGAGT